TGTGGCTATCAAATAATGAGACTGGGCTTATGTAAGGCGAACCACATGGTAAACATTGACCAATGGGCTAGCATAAACAACCCCAGAAAGTTTCAATCTTGTGTCTTCAGTTCGCTGTTACGCATCATTTGAAGTAGACATGTTTTTCTTGAGCATTTAGTCTCATTATTTAATAGCCACACCTCGTAGATGTGGAGTGGATAGCCACCATGTCTGGTGATGTTTCTCTAGAGTTTGACACCTCGGTTTACACCCCTCTCCCTTCCCCTCTACTTGCCCCGCACCCTGTCCCCCAGGCCTCATTTCGGCCCCTGTCAACGTCAAGGTTCCCCTGTGGTCCTCCGGATTCTGCACCGCGCTGGAGGCCAGGGACAAGCTGATGGACATCATCCATGAGAAGCTGGACTGCGAGGGGCAGGGGTGAGGGCGCCGCGTGACTCCCCTCGCGCTAGGGCTGCACGATATCACGAAAATGACCATATTATCGTTTTTTCATTTTCACGATAGACAATTTAACCACGATAAATATGCATTTAGCTTGACGCGTCTTTAAACGTGCTTTGTAGCCTACTTCACAAGATCTAGTATATTGCCTCACGAGAATTGCGTTGCGGAGTCTGCGGACGGCACGGAAGTTAACTTGCTGGTGATAATGGAGAGCGGGACAAGCGAGGCTGCAGATGGCAACATTAATCCCAAAAAGAAAGTAGCATTTGGTGAACACATCAGTCAGTTTACTGTCCAATGCGTTTGACTTAATTTCTATTTGTATTTGTTGAAAGTCGGCTGCGTGTCATTCAGACTTGAGGCCGCAAATTTATCGGGACATGTTATCGTTATCGCCAAAATGTCACAATTTATCATGATAATATTTTAAAGGTTTATCATGCAGCTCTACCTCACACCTCACCAATCTCTGCTGTGATTGGAACAGCAGCAGAGGTATTTTCGCATCCATAATAGGGATCTCCGTGAAAATTACTCCTCAACCAATCCCAACATAAAAAACAGAAATAAGTTCACAGCTACTCTTAGCAGTGCTTTGGTATTAAACCCCCAGAACAATATTACACAGGTACATCTGTTCACTTTTTACCATGAGACCACCAGACTCCAAAGTAAAAGGAACTGAAAGTTGCACAGACATGGGTTACCTTTAACGTAGCTGATTGGCACCGATTTACTCAGATTTATGATGATTAATACCAGACCCCTAAGGAGGTGATTTTCCATTCAAGTGATGCTTAATAAGTCAAACAGTGGAGTTGTTTAGAACAAAAAGCAGCAGACCTTGGAGGCCGGGAGGACTGGTGTGTTTCCTCTACTTAATTTCGCGCTGGCTTTGAGGCTAATGGCGTGATTTATCAAAGTGATGGTCCTGGCTCTCCCTTCCTGTGAACAGAGCCGCGAGCGTCAGTGGCGAGGGGCTGGATCACCCACAATGGTGTTGACTCACTTTCCTAATGTTGCCCCTCCTCCCTGCTTCTCTCTCCTCATCCCTTCCTCGCTCTCTCTCCATCCCTCCCTCCCTCTGTTTCTCTCTCTCCCTCCCTCATCCTCTCTCTCCTCATCCCTTTGTTTCTCTCTGTCCTTCTCCATCTCTCTCTCCCCATCCCCCCTCCCTCTCACTCTCTCTCTCTCTCTCCATCCTTCACTCTCCCTCTTTCTCTCTGCAGGTTTGTGGCAGACCTGAGGCTCTTCCTCTCCCCGATCACAGCTGTGCTCCACAGCACCTCCTGCTGTTCATATCAGCACTGATCCCCAAAGCCCTGTCCTCCCTGCTCACCTCCTTCACCCTGGCACTGAGCGGACCCGGCAAGGTAGGGAGGACGGGGCGCGCCTCCACCAGTACAGAATTAACCTGGCAATACCTGTACAGAATTAATCTAGCTACACCTATATGGAATTAACCTGCATACACCAGTACAGATATAACCAAGCTGTACCTGTACAGAGCTAACCTGGCTACACCTGCACAGAATTCACCTCGACCAGAGGTTTGGCACCTATATCTGTACCATTAATATTTAAATACACTAATTTGCCATTACATAGAAGTTTGACAACCTTTGAAAATGGAAACAGGCCAGTCAGTCTGGATGTGGATGTCTTGGTAGTATGTGTCGAACCTCAAAACAGATTAATTCTGAAAATGCATACATTAACATAAGCATTTATTAATTAATTAATAGATTTAATTATTGTTTAAACAGCCGCTTCTGATCCACTGGGATTAGGGAAAGTAATCTAGGTTTGACCTAGAGCACACACTCAGTGCATTATGGGAAAACAGCAGAACAAATGAGCATATCTCAAAGGACCTAATGTGTGTGTGCGGCTACTAAAAACCGGTTCCAGCGGAGGCGAAGGTCAGATATTATTCTGAGGGGCGGCACTGGCTGCTATTTCAGGTGCCGGTGAGTAACGCGCGTGGGTTCTGTCCGTGTCCCCATTCGCGCTTACCGCCAGGGCGCTACCTCTCATTTGTATGGTTGTGGTCGTTACATAATCCACACTGCTGAATTACAATGACAGGCAATTAAGGAGCAGATCTTATGCTCCGGGAAATAAAGTCATGTGTGACCACCCAAGACAGCCGCAGTACCCTTCAAAGCTGGGAGACGATCATTTGTACTCTTAATTTTTTCTCTTATAATAGCATAGATTACATCTGGATAGGCATGCATACACTGAAATACCCATGCAAGATTACTGTATTTGTAGTAATGATATACATTGCATTATGTTCGTTGTGTGTAACTGTATATCGTACAAGTTGCTCCTATATAGAGAACCTTACAATGACAAGTAGCCTCTACTATTGTTTTCAAGAGTAGCAATAGCTATAGAGAATGAAAAGCAGAAAGTACCAGTAACACTAAAACAAGACATGCATTAATTTACAGTGCGTACTGTAGTTACTCTACTATAATATTGTTACGTAAACGTAACAATAACTTGCACGTTGCCATCCCAAACAAAAACTGTTCTGTTTCAGGCGGAGGTTCGAAATCGGGCGAGGGCTGACCCGGAGTACTTCCACCACGTGCTGCTGGAGGTTCAGAGACTCTGGCCTCCTTTCATTGGTGGGCGCCGGATAGCCAATCAGGTGAGTGCACAGCTGAGCATGTGATCACTACCAGCAAGCAGTAAATGGGCCAGGCGCTAACACTCCTTAGCATTTGTGATATAGATAACATGGAGTCAGAGGGTAGCCCATCTTACTATATTGTAGGTGGTTCTTTAACAATATTAACCTAATTATAAAAACAGATTAGGCTGAAGCTGAGCCGACTGTTGCGTTGCTAATGTGGATGTCTGGCTATAGCCAGATGCAGCATAACTTGGACTCAAACATCCAGCTGTAGAGCAACGAGGTGCAACGAGAACTTAACTCTGTGCAAGACCCACAGGTTTCTTCATTTTGTTTTTATGACAGCTGTGAGATGGGAGTTAGACTATAAAATCGGCCGTACCATATTTATTTTTACATATAAATACATTGTTACTTAGCTATGGGGTACTCCAAGCAGTTTAAAAGACAACATCCCTTCAGAAAGGTGCTGTCATGTAGAGCTATAGAGGTGTTTATTCAACAGGCTCCCTACAATTTTATTGTACAGGGTTGTGCATCATTCTTCAAAACCCAGAAGTGTAATTACAATGAAGGATTTTTTCTCTGTTAAATTCAAAGTGTTGTATTTGAAGATTTAGGTCATAGACTATTGCGTACGCATTTCTCAATAAGACAGTCTTGTATTTGAAAAAAAAAGCTGCCAGATGAGAATTACAATAAAGAGCTTAATTGAAATTATTTTTTTTTCCAAACCAATGACCAGCCTCACTGGAACCCAGGCGGACATTGTCCTGGTTCTTTCAGGTCTCATTGTGCTTTTTTAAAACGAGCTCAGGCCGGGGATCCGGAGCCAGCCAGCCAGCCAGCCAGTCAGCCAGACGACATGGGCGTAATTACAAGTGTTGCGATTACTCACGGCGAAGCAGGTGATAATAGATGCATTTTTAATATGAATCGCGCATGAATATTAATGTTTCCTGGAGAGTGAGTTGTCAAAGTGACAGAGTGGCTGGCTGGGAACGGCAGGGGTACGGGGGATACATTTTGAGCCATAAATAACACGGTGCAGATGGCCCCGAATCGCTCTATAGAGACGCCGTCAAGTCGTCGCTCTGTGGCGGTGTACGGTGGCAATCTGTGGAAAAATATGTATACATAATGTTAGCTGCGCGCCAAGCTTGTATAGAGTCTCTAGGTGTGATGGGTCCTTGGCAGCGAGCGGTACGTTGTCGCTGTCGGCTGGTTTCGGCCTGTGGGCGGTAAGTTTTTTCGTGCTTTGGGTCCCGCCCACCCCGTTCTGTCACCATGGCGTCGATGTAGCTCATGCATATGCATGAGTTGCGGAGGCTGCCAAAACAGAAGGTGAGGAGTGACGAGGTCCCGACCGTTTTTAGGGGATCGTTTTCCTTTCCTGTGGCGATTATTGGGTCACTGTGGTTACGAGTAAGGGAGAGGGGAGGGGTAGTGGGGCGGTTGGGGGTTGTCAGAGTTGAATATCAATGATGCGATTGGCCTGGGGGCACCTTGGTCCCTATCGTCACTGTAACTCCATTCGCGGGTCATGAATAATGCATGGGTAAACACGCCGGTTATGATGGGTAATTGATTAGCGCGTGATACGGTTTCTGGGACGAGGACTCCGCCGACACGCATGGATCGCTCCGGTTCCCCAGGGAACCAGTCAGTCCTGACTGATCAGTTATATATTTGGAGGGAAAAAAAAAATCACAGAAGAGACTCGAGAGGTACGGGAGCTCACCTTGCATCATTAAAATGTAGGAGATGCAGGGGCTGCCGCCCGTACGTGATTAATCCTCTAGGAAAGGACCGGAAACATGAGGACCGTGTGCTATTTTAGCTTCCTTAGCCACACTAGGAAAGTGGAACATTAACCCTACTTTGCCAGAAAGTCCTTGGCTAGTATTCCCAATTCTTTCATGCAGTGGTTAGGGAGTTGGGCTTGTATCCCCAAGGTTGTGGGTTCAGTTCCCAGATAGGGCACTGCTGTTGTACTCATGAGCACTCAATGCAAAATGCGTCAGTAGATATCCAGCTGTATAAACGGATAGTCTATCGAACTGTGTAAACGTACCCTCATGTTAAGTCAGGATAAGTATGTCTGCTGAATGCCTGAATAAAAATATAAGTGTAATTCTCAGGTCTGCTGAATCACAGGCATGACCAAAACTAAGTGGAAAATTCAAGCTAGTTTAATATCCTGGCCGTAGACAGCTTCCATATCGGCTTTCTTGGCCGTGAGCCTTTATCTTCCTGGGGACCTGGTGCTTGGAGCCCAGTCTACCCCATATGTGGGCTCTTAATGGGGCTCATACATAAAACATGTGGATCTGCTTCTTGCCTATGCGTGACACTATGAACCTGTCACTGTGAATAAGGCTTACTCCTGTGTAGCCTGGACTTCTGCTCGGTCTGGAGATTCAGACAAGGTGCAGCTTTCCTCTGGAGAGAAGCACTTAAAAAAACGGAAAAAAGCACGAAAAAAAAACGAAAGCACCATGGAAAAGTATCACAATTATGTCTGATTTTATGCGTTTTGTATATTTTTGAATATGATTAAATCTTCAACCAAAATGCAATGTTACATAAAAAGGGAACTTAAGTAAACAAATAACACAAAATCTAGATACTTTTTTCATCCATTTCTTAAGTTGAGTTATGCAACACAACCTCCTCCCCCTTAGATTCAGTAACTGTTTGTAATGTATGGATATGGAAGTAGTGCGAGTGAAAGTTGGGAATTAATATGCAAACTCATTCAACATTGTTGAACTTTCTGCTTTCACTGAACTGAAGAGTTACTGAACTTTTGTGACACATTTTCTTTCACATTCCTTTCATTTCTCATGGTACTGTATGCACAGGGGTAGACAAATAAATGAATAATCCAATGTAAATCAAATAAATGGAAAATCACAAATAAACACAAAATAAAGATTACTTGTATGGTTTATAAATCCAACACCAATTACCCTATGCTTATGTCAGTCACAGAAGCTGCAAAATTATTTAATGGGTCAAGGTGAAGTTTGGTGGAGGTGAGTCAAGTGTTGAAAATAATGGCTGCACAGGACAAACAAGGGAAAACTGCCATCGGAAAGAAGAACAGTGGTAACAAGTCCAATATCACCTACAGGGATCGTTGGAAGCTAAAAAGATGGTAACCAGAAACCACAAAACAACAGCCTGTGATATGACCGCAGCATCGGATCTGTGTTCTGTTACCCAAACATGAAACTGTAATGACATACAGACAGACAGACAGACAGTTGGTTTGCGAGTGGCTGAAGGAATCAGGAGTACTGAAATATCAATATGGCCAGTGCTGGGTTAGTCCTTAAGCTTTACAGAGATAACCAGTCACTCTGCAGTGCTGGCTATTTTAAGATTCATTTCACAGTGAAGTTTTATATAACATTTAACACCCTCAAGCTGTTATTTTTTGGTTTCATTGTGTGCGTAGGATTTGTTTGTAGATGCATTTAGTTGAACTTTGGACATGTGGAAAACCTTGAAATAGAAGGCAAATACGAAAGTGAAGCAATGAAAATATTTTTAGTAGAGGTGCACTAAAAAGTATATTTGCAGTTTTCAGTTTTTCATTTTCAGTTTTATATGTCCTTATGGTGTCCTTTTGTCCAAAAATATGTTGTAATAATACATGTACATTTTGGCTGAATCGAAAAACAAGACGTTGTTTGCCATTGCTTCCATGAAGGGTACTTTGGGTAAAATGAGTATATGTGAATGTTCATTATAATCATATCTTAGCTGCTATTGTCACAAGATGTTGTATCACTGATTATACAATTTGGTGAAACACAAGATAAATACAATGTTGGCAAAATATTCTCTGTTCTGATTTGACGGACCATGAATTATATCTTGTCTTGGCTTGCAGGACACTACCCTGGGCAACTATAATGTCTCCAAGGGATACGCAGCCATGTACATAAGCTACGCCGTGCACCGCGATCCTGAGGTTTTCCACCAACCGGAGGACTTCTCGCCGGAGAGGTGGAGTGGGAGGTGAGGATATAGATTCCGCAGCCTGTAGTGTATATGTGTTGGCAGTCAAGGCATCATGTATTATTTCATTTATAGAAAAGAGAAAGGGCTCAGAATGACTCATTTCTCCCAGGGCAACAACAGAGAAAAGTATTCCATGCACTGAGTTCTTGACACTGTGGTTGAGGTTCCTTGAATTTCATGTGTTAGGGTTTTTTTATTTTTTTTTATTGCCGTTTCTAATTTGTGCTCTGCAAGCACGAATGACAGCTGCAACTGTCCATTAAAATTTAACACAGCAGAAACACCCACTGTGGGTAGCGGCTCCTGGGAGGAGCAGAGCTGTCAGTCATATGGTGGTGACTCATTTGTCGAATGAGGTGGGGAGGTGGGTGGGCGGAGCCAGTTCTGTCACTCTGTATCAAAGCTGGAATTGACTCCCTTCCGCAAATGACAGAACACGACTGACCCGTGAGCTGAAGCGTTTAGAGTTCTGCAACATCACGTACGGCTAAGAAATTGTTTTCGTCTGTTTAAGAGTTACAACAGATTATGGTTTAAATTTTTAAATAATAAGGGCATTTCTGAATATCTCTAAATATTGAAATGCTTGATTGATATTCATTTTGTCACATATGTATTGAATCATTTATTCACTGCAGCTCATTTTAGTCGTTCTTGGAAACTCAAAACTATTCCCTAGCTTCTGTAAAACTTACAATAATGATTGAGCTGCCCAGGGGTCCTCTTGTGATTACAGCAAGGGCAAAGCCCACTGATTCTTTTATTATTAATTACTCCAGCGGTCTGTGGTCATCAGGCCCGAGCAACTCCCATCCAATCACAGCGCAGCATAGCGCCTGCTCTTAACTAACACTCTCACCGGATGTTTTTATCTTTCCCCCAAATGGATTGCGACTGAGGCTTGTGTTGACCTTGTCCTGGTGCTGCCCCCCTCCCTCCCCGCCCTCCTTCCCCCAGGCCCGCCCACACACACACACACACACACACACACACACACACACACACACACACACACACACACACACACACACACACACACACACACACACACACACAGCTCCTGGCAACCGGTCAGTGTGTTCTCACAGCTCCGTTCCCGAGGCCCCTGCGCCGGGGCGCTCTGTTACGGTTCGGCTCGCCCGTAACCTCTGTGACCCCGGTGTGCGCAGACGCTCTCACGGCCACCCGGGGCTCTGCGGTATAAATACACTCCAGCGCCGGTGCCCGACCCGCGCGCTGCACCAGCTTCCCTCCTCTCCTTTCCGTCACGCTCTCCTCCCCTCCCCTCATTCACTCTCCTCACTCACTTCAGCCTTGCTTTCCCCTCTCCTCTGTACAACCTTCATCTTTGCTTTTGCTGGATGAAACACAGGTCTTTCATTCATTCAGTCTTTCTCACTGTCTTCCCTTCTTTCATGCATAATACAGGTGTCTCAATGGTTAATTTTTAATAGCGCTCAGATGTCCTTCTGCTACAATTAGGTGACAGTCTGGGAGAGACCTGGCTAATGCTAGTAACTAGCATTAGGTGCAGCTGTAGTGTTACTGAAGCACAGTTAGAGTTTGGCTGATGTTATCATGTATCACTGGATATAGAACAGCGTCAGTGAAGCACAATTCAGGGTCTGGCTAATGCTAGCACATAGTCATTGAGCACAGCTGCAGAGTTAGTGGAGTACAGTTCATCATACAATGCTAACACATCGCTTGAAGGAGCCCCAATGTTAGTGAAGCACAGTTTGTTAGAGAAAGGCTAAAGCTACCATGTAGTGCTGGGCACAGATACATTATTACTGGCGCACTGTTCAATAGAGTATGGTTAATGCTAGAAAATGATGCTAGGCAGAGCCACAGTGTTAGTGAAGCACAGGTCGTTACAGTACTAGCACTGGGTGCAGCTACAGTGTTCGCGGACCACAGATCACAGTCTGGCTAATGCTAGCAGATAGCGCTGGATGTAGTCAGCGTTAGTGGAGCACAGTTCATTAGAGATCATATACCCTGTGAGTGCATGCCATCCGGCCTGAACGGAAAAACAGTCAATTATAGATGAAATCTCAGGAGGCGGCTCGCTTGCAGGACTTTTCCTGGCTAATGATGCCGGATGTTGTTGTCTGAGGAGCAAACAGACGATACCGTGACTGAACTGGTCCCTCCTCATTCCTCGGTCAAGTGGGCCATTGCCCTGAAGAGCTTCACTCAGCTGATGTCAGTCGTGACCCATTTTGTCAGGTCAAGACATCTTCTGAATTTGCGCAGGGTTTTCTTGACCTTGAGTAATGCAGACATACAGTCTAAAAACAGCAGACAGAAATGAACTGTTCTTGCACACAGAAACAAATGACGAAATCCGTTCTGCAGATTAGAAACCACTGAGGTAATGAATGAAAATAAGTAGTAAACACAATCAGTTTGCATATAAACAGCATGATTCATTTTATCATGCTGGTGAATCCTCCAGAGGCAGGGCATGCCAGGGAACAGAAAACTTCATTTCCCATGGTGCACAGCACCCTCCTGGGCACAGACAGAATGCCCGGAGGGTAGTACCTCAGGGTGTATGAGGGCGTTTGCAGGCTAAGTAGTATGGAGCAGTGGAAAGTTTGACTAGTGCTAGATTCTGAAGAGTTGGGGAAGAGTTTCTTTGCCATTACAAAATGAAAATGTATCAAATATAAACATAAAATCAAAAATGTTTGGCAATCATTGGCAACCAGGAGTTGCTGGTAGAGAGCAGCAAGACTAATGAACTTACAGGCTTCAATAATATTGTACCTTTACGAGGCTGAGCCAATTTTTGTCTCACCAGGGTGGACCTTTGGCCATAGCCGTTAATGGTGAAGCTGGCACAATACAACCAACACTTTTGTCATGGTTTTTCCAGTCATAATTACTTTCCAATGTAACTATATACACATTTTGGTGCAATTTGAGAAAATGACATATTGCAC